ATTGGATTTCCATATCCAATCCAAAAATCTTTGGAACCAGAAATAAAATTCGTGATTTAGTTGTTCAAAATTTAAAAGTGATTTTTTTTCTTCTGAAAGGTGAAGGAATTACAGATTTAAGTGTTGAAGGAAAATACCATTAGAGAGAAAGCTGTTGGAAAATGCTTGTGCTTGCTGTGCAATCTTTCTGTGCATGCTAATAGTGTTGCAGTTCAGTAATATATGCTAAACATATTGGCAGATTCTGATGCAATTAACCTTTTTTGTGGACTATCTTAAGATAGAGCTACACGCTGAGATAGTTGAAGAGCATTTTTATTGTCAAAATTGGTTGCATTTTGGTTGACGTAATTTATATATTCATCTGATATTCAGTGAGTAGGCAATTCTAGTGTCAATAACCCTCTCGAAGATTTTTTTATTCAGGAAATTCTTAACCCCATGTAAACTATATTGTTTTAGAATCTAATAAAGTATAAATGGAAGTTAATACCACATTTTCAAAATATTCTGTTTTGAGCTAAAGATCCCCAATAGGACCGACTACCACAGAACCAAACATATTCTACATAGAAAACATTTGGTGTTGCACGGCTGCCTCGACCCAAGTCTGAGTCCTAAATAGTTTACAATAGTGAAATGAGATGCTTTCAATTCAATTAAAATTCAGCATGAAATTTGCCTCTTAGGTAAACACATCAAACGTAACAATAGCTGCAACTCTGAAATCCTCACTGGCATCTTTTCTGGGAAAACTTACATTGGAGCTCGCAACTGCCATTACTGATAGGGAAGCTTTGTCTGGTGACAAGTGGTTTGGCTTTCAGTGGGGGATAGTGTTCCAGTTTTCCATGAAGATGTTCAGGAATGTTATTAAGTAAATTGACTCGGTGAATTCTTAAGAGGAATCTACTTTCCCTCCTGATGGAACACACTCTGAACCAACTGTTCATTTTACTGCATCTCATGATGGATATTAATATGAATTGTTAAATCATGAGTGTCAGCCCCAGTATAGACTAACATAAGCGTTGTATGTTTCAGAGTTGGCAACAGAATGCAGAATATTGAATGTAACTCTGTGATGATCCATTATTATGGAGATCTCTGGTAGCCAAAGCATCATACTGAGATTGAAACTGTTGTCATTTTTTTTAGGACACACAGGATATGTCACCGTGTTGCCTTTTATTAGTGGGGATTCTTTCTGATCTGATAACCAAAATTTCCTAGAAATGAAATTGAGAATAATCTTCTGAAAATTGAGAAAAAAAGCTCTGTTTTTTGAACCCTAATGGCACTACTTCTGGGCAGAGGTTTTCTACCAAGCACACGCCACAGGCTATGCTGTGTAACTGGAGGGAGTCAAAGCAGCATTTAATTTGAAGGTGATGTTGGGTCTAATGATACATTAAAACAGTTCAGGGATCTTTATCTGGTGGAGGTAGGTTAGGGACTGAGAATCGTTGTCAAGATTGCGGTATTCCTGAACGCTATTCTTTTCCTTAATTATCACTGAGAATAATTAATGTTTCATCAACTGGAAATTCCTTAATGACAGGTTTGGGACTGAATATCCTCCTGACTTCCAGAGAAGAGTTTCACCCTCAGGCTTTACACATTCAATTTGGAAGCCATTTTATAAAACAACAACAACATTACATTTGTATAGCGCCTTTCACGTCGGGAGGACATCCCAAGGCGCTGGACAGTGTACAACATTTCAGACCCGAGCGGGGGTCAGGGGGGGAGAAAGGAGGGGAGGGGAAGGGGGGTGACCATGGTCGAAGAGGAGGGTCTTGAGGCGGGACTTGAAGGAGGGTAAGGAGGGTGCGAGGGGGAGTGACTGGGGAATGGAATTCCAGAGGTTGGGGGCAGAGGAGGCTGAAGGTTCTCCTGCCAATGCTGGGGTGGGTGGGTCGAGGGACATGGAGCAGGCCGGAGCCAGCTGAGCAGAGGGAATGGGCGGGTTGGTAGCGGGTTAGGAGGTCGCAGAGGTAGGGTGGGGCAAGGCCTTGGAGGGCTTTGTAGGTGAGGACCAAGATCTTGAACTGGATCCTCTGAAGGTTAGGGAGCCAATGGAGTGGGGCGATAAAAAGATATTTAGAGAGCTAAGATTTTCATTCCAATCATTAGAATGGCTTTTTACCTTTGCTTTTTGTTTGAAAAAGTCACTTTTACAATTACTTTTAGGCCAGCAGGTGGCAAAAAAGTACAAAATGCTTGTTCTCCATGCGGGTCCATTGAAAGACTTTGGAGAAACGTGCCATCTTCCCGCAGGGTCAGAAACAAATAGATTAATTCACAGGGTGAACAGATGGCCATTACACGGAAATAACTGGATGGACATGTATGTTAAAGGAAGGGATTTAAGGTTATAAGGATTTTCATAAAACCGGGCTTGTTACATTCTCAATGGATATTGTGTGCTGCAGGGATCAGTGAACAGCATTCAGGCAGGCTTGAAGGTAAGCGTTATAGAATAGATATTGTAGAGTTCTGCTGGGGCGGTGGTTAAAGGGAGTAAATTATATAGTACTTGACCTGACGTAGAATTCTACAGCATAAATCTTGTGGGTTAACAGGTAATAAGAATCAAAGAAGTTCACAGAAGTAGAGTTATTTATTTGTAACCGGCTTATTTTGCAGAAACACTTTTTTTCTAAGCTCTGTTGCTGCTGCTGGACTTAGCCATGCCCCCAAACTGATTTATTTGGTTAAATTAATCTCCTGAGAGTCTATGCAGGATTTCTTACAGAAAGGGTGTAAAATGGTTGGAAGAGAGAGAAAGTTGTATCAGAAAACGGTGGAACTGTCTATCTGTGTTAAACGTTAAAATTTGTGCATAATTGGCATTATTTTATTTTAAAACGCGCTCAGTCACATCTGGTTAAGACAATTCTTCTCAAGAAAGTGCCTTCGTATCTGGAATAACTTTGAACCATGAGCTGTATAGAAATGCACATCATAAGTCAGCAGGAGTGTAGAATGCCTCTTGAGACTGTGCCCTATCACCCTTGTCATATGATAGGATATGCTTGACTATCTCTTAAGTGTGTGTTCTGTACTTCAGGCTTCCTTGCGTAATTGAACTGAAACCTATTCGGTCCATTGCACTCTGCATCTATGTCAGCAATAATGACCATAGTGGAATATCATTAGTTAGGGCAATGAGCAAACTAAACGTGAAAGACTGCTTCATATTCGCAAGATGCTGCACTGAGTTGTTTTGAAACAGAGATGGATGCTGAAGCACTTTACCCTGATAGGATTTGCCAGTGCTGAATTAATTTAAAAAATGGCACATTACACACAGAGTGTAGAAAAGGAAGTATAACTAAAAGACATTGAACTGTGCTCCTTTCCCCCAGAGAACCATTTGCACACAAAAAATAAATAAATAATAATAATTTGGTCACTCAATCCACGACTGTTTGTAGGACACTGATGTGCACAATTGGCTGCCGCATTTCACCCTCAAAATATAAGCACTGCACTCCAATTTCAGTTTAATAATAATAATAATCCTTGCATTTGATAAAGCGCCTTATCACATCATTGGGACATCTCAAAGCACTTCACAGAATATCCTATAAAGTGAATTGACTGTATATTTTGTGGGGAAAACTCAAAATATAGAGTCAACTGTAAGCACGAAAATGGGAGGTGAACTTGAGAATTTCACTCATGGGTAGTCTGCGTGGTATGTCATATATTAGGTGTTTAATCTTTAGGCTAGGAAATGGGGTGTGAAATGTGAGAGCCCTCTGTAAAGGGAAGCTAAATAGAGGAAACTTGGAAACAAATCTCACAAACAGTCATGTCAGTTGCCCCTCTCAGATGTCTCATGGCCCTGTTACAGTAGATGACACTTGCGTAATTGCTTGCTGTAGGGTCACTGTGCTTATTAAGTGATCGTAGCTCTTCCCAGCATTGGATGGTACCTTGTTACATAAACCACTTATAACTGAATCCTCCACACCATTTTCTGCATTTGGCAGCTGTGCTTCTTGCTCCAATTAAGTCAGCTTCAGTTGACTTTAAGACATTTATTGTCAAATCACTTTATATCATACCCTACCTCTTCTAATAGTTTTATTTAAAAAAAACATTTCTATTCATTTCAGTATAATTTATCTTGTTTATTCAACATAAGTATTCAGCATTGTATTTTTTAAGATGGCTAATCATTTGTTGCATCATTAGCCTCCTCTTGGATGAGCCATTTAATAGCCCAGGTCACTCTCTTTCCCAGCAAGTTGAGTTTCTAGAAGAACACTGTAATCATACTTCCATATTTGCTGCAGCAAGGAATTTGTATGATATGATGCATGAATTTATGAAGTTTTGCATTATAAGGTGAGATCAGCAATACAATTTTACATATATATATATCTCTTAGTATGACTGGTCACACGCCTGGCCAACTGGCCAATTTAGCTGTCTGAACTTTTCGCTTGATTCATCATATTAATGTTTCCATTTGATATAATCCAGTTAACAGCAATATCTCAAGGCCCTTCACATGTAATTGTCATCAAGTGTAGTCACTACCTATTCGCAAGCATGCTGAGCAGCCAACAAATGCACATCCAGGAAATGGCCATGAAGCGAATAACCAAATTATATGGAGGATTGTAGTTCAGGACATCAGGAGAAATTCTTTATTGTCCACCTGAATAGGCAGCCACCCCGAAGAGATTACCTATTATTTTGCAATAATAAAAATCCTTACATTTGATGTAGAGTCTTTAACATCGCGAGGACATCTTAAACTGCTGCACAGAATTTACTGTGAAGTTAAGTGACTGTGCTTTGTTGGCAAACACCCACAGGATGGATGAACAAGCTCCAGCCACCTATTGTGTAAGCTATGTGAAGCTTTGCTCAGCAGCCTGCATTGACTGTCCACCTTTCTCCTGCCCCAACATTTCAATTGAGTTTTCAGGGTTTCATTGAAATGCAAGTAACATTTGTATTTATCTAAATCTTGATTCCAGGGGAGACCAATGATAAAGATGTGCAAGTGGTGGAATTGCCTATAGTTGACAGCCTGCACCCGCGACCTCCATATCTGCCTCTGGCTATCCCTGAAGACCTTGCTGATAGATTAACTCACCTCCACGGAGACCCATCTGCTTGGTGGGTGTCACAATTTGTGAAATACTTGATACGTCCACAGTCTTGGTTGGAAAAGGAGACTGAAGAAGCAACGAGAAAACTTGGCTTCAAGCATCCAATTATAGGGTAGGAACCTTTCCAGTTTATATGATGTCTATGTACATTATTGTCGATTGTTGTTCAAGCAATTGTTTATGTTGAATTTACATTGTGTGTGTGATGACGATAGTGCTCTCAGATACACTGCTTGGGAGCCCAGAGGGCTGACCCAATTCTAACACCACACATTCTGGTTATGTGCAAAATCATTCGCATTTGTACCCACTGATAGCTACCTAAACGACAGATACAGAAATGGGAGCAAAGCAAGCACAGGAGCCAAGCTAGTCACCACTATTTAAATATTTAAGTAGCTAGAGCTGGGGGAAAACAAGTGCCTGTGATTGCACATAGGAATCTTGTGACATCATCATATCATATGTGTGAAATTTATGTAACGTAATGAATTATTGCCACTGTTCATGCAAAAACTGAGAATGTATAGATTTCCAAAAGAAAAAAGAAACCCAAAAGATCAGTCCACAAGTCTTTCAGCTACCAATAGGTGGATCACTTTACGTAGCAAGCAATATGGCGTGACACCAATCTCAAAGGGCATCAATGGCCTAGAGAGCTGTGAGGAAACTTTATTTTGCTGGTGAAAAATATATATCACAATCATTGGCATCCCAAAGGCACCATATTGGGTGATGTCATTACGAACAAAGGTCTTCTAAAATGTCTTCCTCTCCACAATAGTGACAACGTCCCTTGAGCTCACTTTTGCAAATGTCTATACAGTATTTTGTGCAGAAGGATGCAGGGCAATCTAAGATACACAGCAAGCTGCAGAAATAATGTATTTAAAATGGCCAAAGCTGTGTGAACTATGAACAACTTTACTTTTTCAACAGTATAAGAAGGGGTTGTGGGGAGGTTTCATCTGCACATTTAACAATACAAATGCAGTATGTTCAATTGATCATTAGTCCTTCAAATCTTTATGAAGCAATCTATTTGCATTACAAATTAGTGTTGCGGCATAGTCTGTGGAACAGTGCAGTATTTAACAAGACATCAGAAGCTCATTTACTGCCCTTTTACAAACAGACGCATGTGATATAGATGTTCATTACTTATTAAATAATTTGCAACCGCATTATTTTACTGTGGTTCTGTTGAAACCTTAATGGTTCATTTCTTCCAGATTCAAATTTAGCAGATGTTAATGTACCAATTTTTTGGGGTTTGAATATTCTCCAGATATTATGATCTCAAGGTAATTTATTTGGCAGATATTCGCATTCAGCAGTTTTGTTTTGCTTGTTTTTTTTAAGATGCATAAGAATAAGAATTTAATACATTTCCCTTTGGTGTGTTCTTTTAATCCGTGTGTTAGCTCATCCTTGCAGGTCAGTAGGGGCAGTTCACATCATTGTGAATAATTTATGAGGGTCCGATGCACGATCATTAATAAATATTACTTGAAGATCGAGTTCAATTACCATTAACGTTCTTCATCTGTCATTTCAAATTTGTACATCTGAATATTTATATTTATGGCTTAAGAATTCCCTGAAGAGGTTCTGCACATACAATTATTTACTGGTAGAGCTAGTCCTCAACATTTATTGAGGTATGTAACAATTTGTAACTAGTTTCGAAACATTTTTTTAAAAAACTTTCTCAAGTGGGTTTTGCAAAATCCATCCATCAGGTTTTGAGTTTTGGATTCTGCCAAAGAGAGGAAAACGATTTTCTGCTGAGATATGTCTGTCCTTATCGCGCTATACAAATGTAAGTTGTTGTTGTTGTGTATTGTGTCAATTTAATGCCAATATAATCATTATCCCTTGAAAACAAACTAAAACCTCCAAGATACATTTCAGCCTGATCATTGTACCTGCGGTTCAGATAAGAATCTCCAGTTCTTTGCTAGTACCATGCCCAGGAACCAGTCTGGGTTTTATTTAGCCAGAACCAGTCTGGGTTTTATTTAGCCATGGACCGGCCTGGGTTTTATTTAGAGTCACGGCATTCCATCACACGAACATAGGTGTCTGAGAGATTGAACTGAATCAAATTGCATGCAAACCAAAATGGGAAGTGTAAAGTGCTTCCACAGTCTCAGTGCACACTGTGATGTTCATTTATCATTAAACAGACTGACAGTAACTATCTCACTGATGTAGTTCAACCGTACTGCAGCTGATTCAGGGTGGTTATTTCTGAGGCTAGAAGTTCACCACGGGTCAGTGTGTCTTTATTGAAATGATGTCCTGTAGTATTCGCTCAATTGCCTTTAGGAAAGGTTGGGGGAAGTATTTCTGATGAAAATGTTTTGATGTTTTTCTTTTGGTAATATTTTCCTCAAGAGCCTAAAAACATGCTGGTGCAATCAGATAATGAGGTCCTTTCTCGTTTCCTACCTTTAACAAATGTAAAAAATTTAACTAATGTTACTGATATCTAAGAGCAAGTAGGCAGGTTTCTCTTTTCAAGCGTAACTGAAATCTGACTGAACGAAAACTAACTTCTCCCCTTTTCCGTTTCTTTTCCTCATCAGTGTCCATGTACGCCGGACGGATAAAGTGGGAACTGAGGCAGCCTACCACCCTATCGAAGAATATATGGTACATGTGGAGGAACATTACAAGCTTCTCGCTCGCAAAACTGAGATCGACAGAAAACGGGTTTACCTGGCCACGGACGACCCGACTCTACTCCAGGAAGCCAAGTCAAAGTAAAGAGCACTTTCATCCTCTCTGGTTTTGAGAAGGGTTTTATTTTTCACAGCCGGTGACTTGAGGAAACCCTAACGGGGAAAAATTTACACCGGTCTTCAATTAGCTTCTGACAGCTCTATTACGCAGTACATAGCCTATTAAACAAAGTAATGGAGTTCCACCCAACAACATGCACTTCAGCAGTGAAAGCATTTTTATTCCCTGCTGTGTCAAATTGGTCTGAGGAAAATTATGCATTAGATGTTGTTCCATTAAAATATATTGTATTATACTCCTGTTTGTATCATTGTTTAGGAGAGTTTAGTGTTCGTTGAGGTCAATAGTATACAATAGACAATCTTTGCACTTCTTTGTAGCAGATTATCAGGGTTAAAACATTGGTGGGATGGGAAGTGCTAGCTAAATACAGAGAAGAGCTGCTCTAATGATTAACCCTTGGCTCCGAAGAAACCTTTTCGTTGATTTTCTCCACAGCTGCCATCCTTTGTCAGAGTGAGATTGACAATTTAGTGCCAATTAATGTTGAATTATGGGCTTTTTAGTGTTGTGGACTGAAGCCCAAGAGCAAACCATTTGAAACTGCCCAAATGCATTTCTCTCAGAACCTTTATAGCTCACAAAGAGGAGCGACGTTTATCACATCAATCTTGAGCAATATTGAAGTCCAGGTCCCTGAAGTCAGGGAGCAGTGCTGCACGTCCTTACATTTGATATAGTGCCTTTCACATCTGAAGGATGACTCAAAGCACTTCCCTGTATATTTTGTGAACAAATGCAGCAGCAATTTGTGCATAGGCATAGTCTGAATGAACATCCGGGTCAGGCAGCAAGTTTGAAGGACTTGCTTCAAAAGCTGTCTGGCCTCAACCATAACATACTGCGCTCTGAATGCATGTTTGAGTTTCATACAACATGGGATTCATAATAAAACTAATGCTTCAGGAGCAGCTAGTGGTGAATTAGCAGTGTGGCCTTTCATGGTCTCCAAAACCCCAGCCTCTTTGTCCTTTTCATTCAGTTTGATATCTGTCTTCCCCCAGATGTGGCTGGGTAAAGGTTTCAAGCATCGCAGTGCACAGTAAAATCCGTTGTCAGCAACCAAGCTTGTCACATATAGGTGTATAATAATGCATTTCAAAGTGAAACCACAAACTTATTGTAGCATTAAGTGTTTTGATGCAAGAATGACAAATGTTTGTTCAGGAATTTTAGAAGTGTCCTGAATACATATCTTTCTGTGTTGTGTATGAAAAGCAATTTTCACAGAACTCTAAACACTTGGGAATGGTTAGGAATGAGATTGATGATCAAAAAAGACTGAAACTGATTGCAAACTCTTTTAAATGTATGTGGCTGTGTGCACTTTTGAAAGTGAAATACATTAAAATAGGTTACACTTTTAAACCAAATTCATTAGGGTCTGACAAGGTATTGCTCAGTTCTTGGTGGCTGCTTCGGGCTCACTTTTACACCTGGAAATGTTATTATGCCCTTTTTATATTACTACACCTTCAGTGGAACACTGATTTGAATAAGTAATTACACTTCACCAACCTCGCTGTCGTTTCTGCCAAGACCTGTGTAGGGTTCTGACAACCACAAACGACTTGGTAACTATTTTTTTAATCAGACGGGTGTCTGCCACACATGGGAACACATCACTTTGCTTAAGAGTATCCAAACCAGACTGACAGATCAATATATGTAAGCCACCTACGCATGGAAAGTTCCCTACATCTGGAAGGGAGTGTGCACTCTCCTTGGAGGAATACACCTTGCTAACCTACATACAAAAAAAGGATTAGGAGCATGTTGATAACCCCAGACTGCATTTGGGGGGAACTGCTGGAGTTTAATAATCTGAAACCAAGTTGCTTGCCATTATCAGTACTGTTCAGCAACCTTCCTAATGCTTGCCCAGCTAATACTCTACGCATGAAGAATTTGGCTTAGAGGCACACACTCGGAGAGGATCACCTCTATTCCAATGCCAGACAAATCACCTAAAAGCCAGCTCAACCCAGAGAAGATTTAAACCCATCCCCTCCCCCCAAGAGGATAATGACTATCTCTTTGATGACATTAACATCACTAACAATCATACACAGAGCACAAAACACCTTGCACTGCCCATACTTACATTGCAGTGGCACAAATAAATGTGCTGTGGAAAGTATCCTCTAATGTAGCTCATGTAGTTCTGCAGCTTAGTGGTTGGGCCCTCAATCTATGGCTGTTTGTGGGACACTGCTACCGTCGCATTTCACCCACAAAATATACAATCAATTCACTTTACAGTATATCCTGTGAAGCGCTTTGAGATGCCTCGAAGATGTGATAAATCTCTATATCAAATGCAACGATTATTATTATTATTCTCAGGGCAGTCTCGACGGTCAGTTTCCATGTGATTTGTAAAAGTATTTGTCTGATTTTGCTCTTTGTCCTTTGTCCAGGTATCCTGACTACGAATTCATCAGTGATAACTCTATCTCCTGGTCAGCGGGTTTGCACAACAGATACACAGAGAATTCCCTGCGAGGAGTCATTTTGGACATCCACTTCCTATCTCAAGCAGACTTCTTAGTCTGTACCTTCTCATCCCAGGTATGGTAACTAAGAAAATGTGTGAGTGCACTTACTCTCTTCAGAGATGAAGTGTATTTGATGTACTTAAGGATTTAGCACTTAGAACAGAAATGAGTACCTAGGTGCCAGATTCAGATGAAGAAGGCACTTCATCTTATTTGATTTCATCCTTCCAGAATGCCCACTTTACTGTTCTCTGGTCACAGCATCATTTTGTTTTAAAATAAGTCCTTAGTCCTGGGCTCAGCCATCTTTCTGCTAACCCGTACCAGTCATTAATGACCCTGCTAGTAAATAAATATTTCCTGGTGTCTCTCTCGAAATGGCTTTTTACAACTGTTCCCATGTTCTACTGTTTCCATACATCCAAAACTAGAGCTCAACAGTCTACCCTTGGCTCTTCCCAGACCTTAGCTGGAAGTTAAATTGAACAGATGAAATAAATATGATAGTTTTTGTTCATATAAAACTCTTTTTAACTACAGTGCAATTCTATTATTAGTGAAAAGACCATTCATTTGTGCTCTAAATAACCTCGCCTACTAGGCTGACCTGTAAAACCAACCAGTCAATCATGTGTTAGATAATGGCTGACTTCCTCTTATTGTCGATGGGAAGGTCACACAAGGAAATTCTTTATTACAGCCATTTAAAGCTACTCAATTATGATTTCAGAAATGGCACTGTCGAAACTGTAATTGCTCATGATTAAGTCAGATTACTGCAGTGTAACTGGTAGTTAGATTCAAAGTGTATATTAATTTGCTCCAAGGATAAGCATGTAAAAATGAGAGGTTGGATTCCTTTTTGGTACTACTAATAAGTATGTTCTGGAAAGCACAACTTTGTTCAGTGCAACACTAAAGTTAAAATGAACTCAGTAAGTCTGAATAATATTTTATGATGCAGAGGTCCTTTTAAACACAAATTTCATTTCCTGAGTTCTGCTGCTCACCAGGGAATTTACAGGGAGTTACTGGTATCGATATCCACAGAGTGTGGACTCATACTTGAACTTGTTGAATGTTAAATGACTGCCGAGTGACCGTCCTCCTTGGGAAAGGGAGGGTGGGTCTCTTTGGGTTGAGATGGCTCCAAAGTGACAGGCTTGGCAACTGAAAGTTGGAATCAAGTCAACCTTCTATGGACAATGCTCACAATCGCAAGCTAAGGAATTTTAGCTGGCTAGGCTCCCAACACACACCCTGGGATCCTTCATTCTTCCCAATCTGTGCCTAAATATCTTTGGAATTAGGTAAGCAGGACATGTCCATCCAGTAAGAGTGTATGCATTCCATTACAGACTCACAGAAATTTCCATGCGTGGGTGGTACACGTTTATATATGTATATATATAGCAGTGCACTGCTCTTTCCTTCATTTATACATTCCTCTGCAGGCAATACTGCTCTTATCACCAAAGTAGGATATGGGTGAGGAAATGGGGGTGGGTGGGGGAGAGGCTGTGACCAGCCATTGCTATGGCTTAACTAATTAGTAGAAAGCTTGAGGCAAGAGAGGCAGTTTAAAAATAAAAGGTCACCCATCTGAGTCGGTGAAATAGATTAAAATCTCTAAGATATTGAATATTTCACTTCCTCCTACAATCCCAGAGAGACCTGCATTTCAAGGCCTCCGCACTCAAATAGCCGCTCAGCTGATGACAGCTATCGGGTTGTCAGTGAGTGGCTTTGTCGGAAATAGGGTTGACTATGTACTTTCTCTTCCTGAATGAGCCTCGGGAGATATCCAAGCTGGGAATGTTCAGTACTAGTTGAGCACTGGGTACTTGCAAATATCATATATGCCAATTGTGTGCACAGGTGCATCGTGTCTGCGGTTGATGCACCAGTCATTGGCTTCAGAATGCAAGCCTGTGAACGTCAAGCGAGGAATTGAGTCCGCAGTACCTATCATCATTTTTTGCACTCGCTGCTGTGGGCTTTAGCTTGTGCCCCACGGCAATCTGAACTCTGAGGTTTAATTGTATGCTATCAGCATGTCGGCTCCAACTTTCTGGCATGTGACATAATGAATTGTCATATTTTATTCATGAATGTAAGTAAGTTTTTTTTAGAAAAGTGCTGTGTAGGTAATTTTTTGGTGCATAATATTTCAATAACTCAGATAAGGTTAGTGCTAGTGATATCTTTGTACCGCCAAATAATTCTGGAGTCCAGCTGACAGGAGATGATTAATCTTTGTCTTCAGTACCAAGGTAATTTCATCGATGGAAAGACACTGTCTAGTCTGACATAGTCTAGGTTAGCACTCCAATGCAGTGCTGGATGAGTGCTACATTTTCAGCGGTGCTATCCTTCAGATAAGCCATTAAAACTGAAGTCATCTGTGTGCCTAGTCAGGTGGGTGTTAAAGATCTCATAACACCATTCAAAATGGAAAGGGAGTTTCTCCCGGTGTCCTGACTTAGATTCTCTCAGATTTTTAAAAAGAAAAGCTCACGGTTGTTTGTGAGACATTTTTTGTGCTTAAATTGACTGCCACATTCACCTACAAATACAGACATGACATTTTATAGAAAAGTCTGTAAAGAGCTTCATTGGAAAGTGGGGGTGTGGGGGATACAGTATATGTTAATCATTATAACACCACATGTCTCTCTCCATATGACTAAATATGGAGGAGCTTTCCTCCTGCACAATGTGGTTTGGGGATGGAATCCCTGCTGTTGGATACAGTATGAATTGAGAACCGCTCCTTCTGATTGCAAACAAGCTTAAACAAAATAAATTCTATTTAAAATTCTCAGGGGTACATTGGACTGTTGTTGAGATCATCAATCTTACGGAAGAAATGGTTGTATTCCTGACTGTAATAACATTAAAATAGCTGGTTTATGTTCACTGCGTTTAAAAAGCGTGTTGCACATGTGCTGAATGTTCGTCATATATTGATTCATATATATTACATATATAGTGTGTCCCTGTTTTATGTATAGCAGAGGTATTTGAGCTGAAAATATAAATCCACCTTCCTACTCCTAATTGCTCTCCTGCTCGATGCTAATGGAAAATATAAAATGCGAAATCTGTAGTATTCATCTCCTGAATAAGAAATAAATAGCATGCTTTATCTGCACACATTAACAGCCTCTGACTACAGTGTTAGGCGTTTCCCTCGAGTGTGAGCCCAGACCTCCCCTAACACATATGCTGCATTAAAAAAATATAAAAGTGCATGTTTTGGGAGGAAAAGATGTATTTTATTTGCGGATGATGTATCCAGAATTTCTACAATGTTTTAGCCACAAAGGAGGAGACGTGTTAAGGAAGGCAAATATATATATTTTTTAACATTCTTTTGAAAGATAATCTTCACTATCTATCCTCTCAAAATCATGTAGAATTTTTAAAACGTCAAATGAGATCCTTTCTTAATCTCCGATCCAATAAAAACAGTCTGTTTTTAAACCTGTCCTCATAACAATAATCCATCATACCTGGTGTTATCTTTGTAAACTTACAAAGTATCATTTCCATGCCTCTTACCTTTTATAATCTGCCATTTCTATCATGGAATGACCAGAACTGCCACTGTGCTTCTGACTTTGGCATAACCAATACCTTTGATAAATTTAACAGATTTTTCTTACTTTTATATTCAATATCCCGAGATACAAAACTAGAATCTCAATTGCTTTAATTGCCTATTTACCTGGAATCTCACATTTCAAGATCTATATATATGCACTGACCATTAATAAATTAAGAATCTGTGCATGACTGATCATTTATTCACGGGCATGCATTTACAACTGATGCAAGCCATTTGGTGCTCTGTGAACTGCGGCAGTCCTTAATCATGTTTGAAGTTCCTTAAATTACAAATTTAAAACTAGCCATGAAATGAAATTCAGGAAAAGTGAGTGAATTAATGAAGACTCAAGCGGAAATAATGCTGAATAGCTATTTACTAAACCGGGATGAACTCCGGTAGAGTTGGGGATTTAAAACATGTATGGCTGATGTTCAAAACTCATTTATAACGTCACTGCAAAATTTTGAAATATAAATGTTTTAGCCATTAATCTTGAAGCTACTGCCAAGGATTCAAATGCATTGATGGACCTCAAGCACACTCCTTAGAGAGCACTTGCTAGTATCGGAAAGTAAAAAGCCAAGCTATTTTGGAGATCCTTAAAAGCCATATTTCAATAAGGAACTTGTACTGCAGAGTGTGTCTCACATAGGTTTCTCAATTGGAGAAGGAAAAGGTTGTGGTATACTGTTCTGGGAAATAATCTTGTGAACGCAGCGGTACTAACATAGTATTTTTCTTTTGAATATTTGTAGATGACTAACTCAAAATATTTTTGTTTAATGTCATTAATTCCACCTCAGTATCTCTGGTATAATAATAATAATAATCCTTGCATTTGATGTAGCGCTTTTCACGTCTTCTAGACGTCCCAAAGCGCTTCACAGAATATACTCTAAAGTGAATTGACTGTACATTTGTGAGCAAACGCGGCAGCCAATTGCACACAGCAATGTCCTACAAACAGTCATGGATTGAAAATGACCAATTTATTATTGTTTTTTTTTTGGATGGATTATTATTGGATTGGATTATTGGATTATACAAGGATTGCACTGCAGACAGATGAGGAGAACTATGCAAATTTTCACTTATTTCTGAGAAGTATTGGAAGGTCTTTTGATTGTTTTGGAGAGGTGAAGATAGATGCATGTTTAGTTTGGAGTTTTTTTTCCCCCATTTAATCTTCCAACTTCAAATGAAAACTATTGGGATGTGGCAATGGAATAGTTGTTTTGTTAGTTCAAATTAACTAGATTTTATCTTTTCCTGCATGGATTTTTTTATATATTTATTATTCTGTCATTTTCATCGGATACAGTTTTCAAGAGCAAAGTTCTAAAACGTAAAAAATAGGCCAACTATGGTTTAAGGCATCAGTCAGCTTCACCTGCTAATAACTTCTCTTCAAAGACGAGCACTCGATAGTGTTTTACAGATGTAGAATTTGAACAAAGTGCAGAGACTGATGAATATGAGAAGTAATCCAATTTGACATTCAGAGGATGCGGTGAATCACAAGAACAAAGAGCAGCTGGATTTTGATCATCACCTGAGGCCAATTGTGGGGCAGGACACTGGTAGAAACTCCCTTCTCTTTTCAAATTGTGCCATGGGATCCTTTATGTCCATCCTCAGTTTACCATCTCAACCATAGGATGGTATCTCTGACGATGCAGTGATGCCCTGACATTGCATCTAAGTGTCGGCCTTGTCTTTAAATTGAAATTTCCGACATGGGCTGAACCTTCTTTCCTTGGAGGTGAGGGCTGTACTACCTGAGCCAGGCTGACACCTATAGCTCACAAGTCTCAGACAGGTAGTAGTTCTGTGCCTCACTGTGTTTATGCAATATCAATCATTGTTTGTAGACTGCAAAATGCTGAGAAAACACTATGATTTGTGACAGATTGCTGGGGAATAAACTAATAAGTCTAAATTCATTCAAATTACATATATTACATATATTGCCTCTGCTTGTCTCATTTGATCTGAAGTGGCAGCCTATATATACCCAAGTAAAATGTTTAAATTCTGTGTGCTTAGTATTGCAATTTTAACATACTGAACCTGGGGTTAGCATTGAGGACTTGCAGGTCAGGTTGAATGGAGAGTAAAAGCTCTTCTTAACCCAAAATTCAGAAGAGCCATGGTGTGATTCCCAGTCATTCTCAAGGCATCTCTGAATCAGACATCCAGTTTGATTCTGTCACTGTGGGCTGGATTCAAAGCCAAATCCCAGAGGTAGAAGGATGATGTTCTAATAGATTCTGTCAACCTGTTAATATAATTTGCTGATGAAAGGCATGCCATCATCTGGCCCCAATTTCCACAGGAAATTCACTTTTATGGATTTCTCTTAAATTAACTGAATTTTAATTGTAAGGAAGTGAAGTCGTTTAGCATTTTTTTTTAGATTGCCCGATTGCTATCTGCACTGAAGTCGCCAACATTGATCAGCAGCACTCCCAAACTGCTGACTTCTAATGAAGTATTTGTAATGTTGGATATATTTCATGTCATTCTTTTGCCTTGGTGAATGTCCAAACTGAACCCTTGTTTGTGCCAAGCTTCCAAATTGAATTTTAGGACTGCTAATTGATGAACTGCCCAGCTATGACGTATATGCCACCAAGTCGTGCAGCTTTTAAGCAAGTGCTTCGGAATAATAAATCCTTTTTTTTTTGCATTATAGGTTTGTCGTGTGGCCTATGAGATAATGCAGACGTTGCACCCGGATGCTTCGACCTATTTCCGTTCCTTAGATGACATCTATTACTTTGGAGGACAGAATGCACATAATCAAATTGCAATTTACCCTCACAACCCACAGACTGCTGAGGAAATTAAATTAGAGCCTGGAGATCTCATTGGAGTGGCCGGTAACCACTGGAATGGTTATTCCAAAGGTATCAACAGGAAAATTGGGCAAACGGGCCTGTACCCATCATATAAAGTGAAAGAATACGTCGAGACCATCAAGTATCCAACCTACCCAGAGGCTGACAAAGAAAGGCAGCAGTAGCTGCAGAGAGAGCAATCCCACACCCTCAATGAATGTATTTTGCCATAAACCTGAAATCCAGCCAACTGTTTTTATTTTCTGAAATTGATCGCCTGTGTTGCAGATGCATCCATCTCCATTGTTGGTTGTGTTTGGTTGTCTGCCATTAATTCACGTATATTCCTTCGTGGTTGACACTGCCGTGTTATTGCAGGTTAGAGCATGAGCAATCCAGTGTGTGTCCAGTCATGGTGCCTGATGCTCAACAATCTTCAACCATTTTTGAAGAATCAAGCCCAGTGCCAGTGCTGAAGTGGATCTGAACTCCTACCTTGATCTGTAATTTGAAACAGAGAGAGGTTGAACTATTAGTCACAAGAAGGGTTATGAAGACTTTATCCATTCCGCGGCCTGTTTAAAGAGTTATTTGCCTTGAGGACTGACTGGGTTATTCCCTCCCAATAGTAGATGAAGAAAGCATCCGAATAATGAAGTACTCATCCACATTTCACAGTTTTGTAAAAACAAAATCATGGACAGAATCTTTAATACATAATGTTTCTGGACATTGTCTTTGATAACAAAAAATAAATCTAAATCAACCAGTTAAACCGGAATTTTTATACTTTGTTGGGGCAGAGTGGGGTGGAGGGAAGGGGAGGAAAGATGAAATCAATGGTTATCTTTTAGTAATGTAATAACAACACAAAATTATCACTTGCTCATTTCTACAATATTTCATTATTTGAAACCATACACATTTACAAGCACCAGATTGATTATCTTGTATAAAATGGTAAGGTCAATACTATGCATTGAAAATGATGTGCCAGTTGATTACATGATGGGAATATGTATGCATTTATATTTTAAATATGAAAACAAAAATAATGTTGCACCTAACTTTTTCTGTTCGGCCAAAGAGTGGAATATTTAGTTGGCAAGCTCCCTTTGAATAGTTTGTGTGCTCTTTGAAAACGTCTGATTGATAAAAATGGTGCAAGAGACATCCTTCATCACTTTGTCTATTTTGATACTCCTCTTGTCCATTTTCTTTCTTTCCTCTTTGCAACACATAAATAAAACAATGTTGAAGGTTACAGTTTAAGGTACAAATTTTGGTTTAGACTTATTGTATTATAATCCATCTTCAAAGTGTGTATTAATTATCCAGTGTGATGCGAAGAGAGTGCTGTAATTGGTGGAGGGCTGTCCTTCGGTTGAGATGTTAAACTAAGATTCCATTAGGAATTGCTGTAATTTACAGTGATTAATTATTAATCTTGAGTTTATAAATTAATTATTAATCTTGGCTTATCAGTATTTAATTAATAGGCTTTATCAATTTAAATCAAATAATCAATGTTCAGGTTTAATGCTATGTATATTTGTACAATTGCTGGGGTTCTCAGCACTTTTTGTTACAGGTCCTTTTTAGACAGATGAGCCGCTCCATCTGATTAAGTTTTTTTTATGTTGTTGCAATCAATGTTCTTTAAATCAAATTTGTATGTTTTTAAGCTCTCTGATGCGTTACACTGTGTGAATTGCGCTATACAATGCAGAACGTTGCAGATGATGTAGTATATATAACACTATATATACGTACATATAGTGCAAGTCATGGTTGTCACTTGTTTATTTTTTTAAAAAAGCAAGCAATCGCAACACAAAAAAAACTTCAATTAATTTAAACATCGAAAATATTAGATAAAACTGTCTTGATATAACAAAATCTGCAGCCTCCAAAACCTCCACATGCTAAAGAAACCCAAGCTAAGTGCCTTATAGGATGCTTACTGAATTGCTATGTGCAGTCATTCTTTCCTGTGCTACATTGGATGAATGTTGTACATCAACATATTTTAAGAGTAGAAGCGAGACCATTTCCGCATCCCTTCCAAACAAAACGTTCTCCTGCACAACAGGAAGAACAACAAATCTGAACTTGCATTTAACCTCAACAGCCCTCGTCACAAACCGAAGGATGTAGATACATTGTATTTGAAATAACAAAATGCAAGAAAGGTGTGTGTGTGCATCCTTCCCCATTATCAAATGTTGGAGATCCAATTAAATTCAGTATGGCTATTATAATTGTGGTTCCAAATTTACTTATTAATATAAATGCAGTAGATTTACTTAAACTAACCAGATTACCCCAAGTTATCGATTTCAGAAAGAGCATTCAACTACTAATTGAATCATGATCTCAGAATTACAGGAATTATTGAACATAAACTCTTGATCTCCGATTTCCCTAACATATTGACAAACGAATCACACAATGGATTTTGTGGGGAGAAATGTGCACCAACTGAATCAAACCAATATTACAATATTCCAAGATTGGACTTGAAAGACTAATGTTATGATTTCATTATAGGCACTTCTCACATGGCTTCAAGAAACATTATGATCCAATCCACTACTCACATTTTTTCCAAATGTCAAATCTGAATCTACTATCTATTAATGAAAGTAGATTATCAGAGCAGACCATCAGATTGAGATATGAGGTAGTATAAAATTGCACTTCATCTATCTAAAGTAATAATGATTCCTGTCCTTTGAAAATATTATCAGTAAATCTGATTTCCCTCTTAGACTTGAACTGAATAATCCAAATTTCTCCTTTGCAGTTTATTGGAATTTCAGAACCCTGACTAAGAATGCTGTGAAATAGTCAAAATGTATTTTGGAAAATGAATATGAAAATTCACTCAGTCAATGCGTCCTCCCGACGTGAAAAGCGCTATATCAAATGTAAGGATTATTATTGACGCATCCTTTCTTTGTCTTAAGAAATGTCAGCAAAAGGCCAAGTCCAATTTTCACCATCAAGAAGAAAAGAACTCCATCATCCAATGATGCCAACCTTGAGCTATAAAAAGATATCAATTGAGAGCAAGAGAGAGCATTTCATAGCCCTATGGTCCTGGGAAATAGAGTAGGAGATGGGGCAGTGAGGCTTGATTTCCATGCAAAAAGGAAACAGGTGTCTGGTAAGAGATACTACTGAGCCTTCTCTATATGTTCTTTTATGGCAAGATAAATTATTTGAGGGAACAGCTTGAATCGAAGGAGACCACTGATAAACTGCTCATTTTCACAACTGGCATTTTAAAACGAGTCTGCTTCAGTGTTAAGTCATGGATAAAATCTATGCTGTCAGCAGCCATCACTGACATCTTTAATACTGGAGCTTGCGCAGTCAGAGGTACTTCTATCAGAAGAGCCTCTAGCCTTGTTCTGGAGATTGGAACTATTGTGAAGGTCACCATATGCGGGCATGTCAGTTTGGAGTGGAGTTGAATTGTGATAAATATATACTTGTAATTAGTTTGCCTGAAGATATCATGATAGATTCAGTATTTCGCTAGAATCAAAATTTCCACAGATGACAGATTTAGAATAACTTTGTGCTAAAACATATTTACTCTCATTTATTCTACAATTAGAATTGATTTAATGCTATTCTCATCTCAAATTGATTCTAAAAATGCAAAATATATCAAGTTTATAACATACAGTTTTCATATCGTGCACAGCTCCTGTGTCCAAATGTCCTTAGTAGCACATCCACGCATCGAAAGACATGACTATTCATTCCAGCAGTGGAAATAAACCAGCGGCTATGCATTTAGCAATTCAGTCTAAACAACTGCAATTAAAAAGACTTTATGTTCAGAATCATTAATGATCAGGAATAGTCTTCCTCTTTCTTGTTTGGCTTGGGGAGCGATTTCTCCCCTTAATTGTCTCACTCCCTCTTCTAAAAGCATTTTGACTCCCCTTTTTCAGGACTGGCCTTAATTCCTGTGTGCTTCTTGCAGAGTATTTGACAAGACAGATTGAAACTAACCCTGATCCTGTCCTCTCATGCGTCTGATGTCCACGAATGTGCATGTTTAGCTGGCTAGCCATCAGAAGCAGGACTGGAAACTGAATTTCTTTCTTCTCCAGTCATTATTCCTGAGGCTAATTGTAACATCCCAATTGCTGCCCCTGCTGAGATCAGCACACTTAGCACAGATGGTGATTAAACCTGAGACCATCCCAATCTGCATGTCTCAGTTATTCACTGGACAAACTGATTGAAAGAGCTTGATTTCTCTTATTTGTGCACATTTTTGACTGCCTAATTTTCAACTTTATTTTTTTATGGTACCCCCACCCCCCCAAACACCACACCCTGACTCCATCCTAGAGATAAGAGCCTTGGGACGTCCTCCTGCCATGAAAGGCACCATGCAAATGTATTTTTTTATTGGATTGTAAAGATAATTTTTTTTATTCATTTCCACTTTAGGCGGTCAGGCACCATATGCCATTATCAAGCAAACTGGTGAAGGAGGTGATATACTGTACACTGTGAGACTAGCTGTTTTGGTGTAGACTCGCAGAGAATGATTCAGGAATGACCTGCAATGTCCAATTAAAGCAAAAATTTAGAGTTTGGTACTGAGGTCCGATATATAGCAGTTTGCAAACAAAATATTATTGAAATTTCTAGTTTCCTCAGACAGGTCACTGTCCTATCTCATCTAATACATCAGTCTATTGACAGCTACAATCCAGCAAAAATTTAGAGCAGATAAACTAAGCATTTAATTTGAGCCAAATCTTTGACTCAATATGGCTTGTCAATACTTTATTAAATTAATGAAGATTATTGAATTGATCTAAAAACAGGGTCAGAGACCATAAAAGTCAATGCTCCTGACAAGATCGGTCATCTAATCCTTGTTTAGGTTTTGTTGACTGTTCAATCTGAGCGCAGTATCTCCCACCTTGTGGACCAACAGCATCAAAAAAGAGAGTATGTGAATTAATTAGGTGTCCCTCTCAAGCCTGTAGTGGACTATGAGCTTCCAATAAAATAGAAAACTTCTCTCCTTTTACCAATGCCAAGCAGCATGAGGTTTCGAGGAAATTGAGTCAGCCATGAGTTTAAAGGATTTGAGGTTGATTAAATTGATTAAATCTAAATACTGAAAAATGTTTCTTGCAATTACAGGTATTCTATTTGCTTGCCATATGTTGTGTGAGTGAGATCAGAAATGTTACACTCATCTGAGGAACAGGTAAAGTAAATAATTTCCCTTGATAAGGCAAAATAATTAATTCCACTGATGAAGTTGAAAAGCTGAAATATTCAGCCATAATTCTGTAGACATCCATTTGAGGCAGAATAAAAATAAAATGCATGTTTTTTGTTTCAATTAACATACTTGTTATCCTTAGTTCAAAGCAGCTGTGCAATTTTAACTCAAGGTAGATGAATGATTTCGCAAATAACAGTTATAACTAAAGTAGCTTACCACCAGGCAGTCTAGATACTTTAGATTGTTAACATTAGTTTGCAAATTCTAACAAGGATTGAAATCATTGGCAATTTCTTTTACACAAGTGAATTAAAATCACCAATACTTATGATTGGAGCTGAGAAGCGGTGCAATTAACAAGTCACACCACAATCCCCAAATACAGCGTTTGATATTTGCATTATTAGGCACTTTGTGAAGTAATTCACTCTTGTAATGCCAGCCATTACTTTTTCAAGGAAGACAGAGATAGAGAGAAGTTTGGTGTGTAGGGAAAGAAGCAG